ATCATAGAAATTAGAGGAAAAAAAAGCCAGTAAAGGTTTTTCCTTTTAAGTTGATCACAGATTTTAGTAATCAAAAGCTTTTTACTAAACTGTACTTTAGGATGGAAGTCTTGTAAAAGCAAAACTTCTTTTTACAGAATCATACACAAAACCTCTCCTCTGCCACTAATTTTAGAGTGAGACAATGAACTAATAACGATAGTTTCTTGCTGTCCAGTGACGCAGGGGGATACTTATATGGATATAACTGTTTTAACCATAAACCCTACAGAAAAAGCCATGCTGATGAAAACTTGCCTCTTGGTTTTGGCTGCTGTTTTGCAGAAAGGTTCGATGAACATCAGGTTCTGATCTGCGCTGAGCTGTGAAAAAAGAAAGCAGAACCTTATTAATAGAACCATCAGGAGCAGATGCTGATGTTCTTTATTTCAGGTCATGTTAAATCCACAGCTGTGATAAACAAAGTGGATCTGTACCTCTGCAGCACCAACCGCAGCCAGTTCAGTCAGGTAAAGGTCCAAGATGTGTAACTGCAGCCCAGATGGAGGCTTACTGTCACTCTGCAGGAGGTCAGAGGTCAGCAGCTTCACAAACTTGTCCATCACACTGAGAAGAAAGAATAAACTCTTATTTGTTTCAAACTAATTACTATCAAAGTAAAAAATAAAAAAATGTTCTGTCTTACTTGCTCTCCCAGTTGTTCCTTTTCAGTAACTCAAAGGTTTGTCTGATCATGAAGCGAACCAGCTGTGAAATATTTAGAAAATGTACTTAGGTTTCCAAAACAGCTAGAATTTTACTATCAGACTGATTCCAACATTATTCAAAATGTTTCAAAACCTTTTTTTAATCTTTAAAGATTAAAATAATGCAAAACCCAAGAAGTGTTTGTTTTATGTTACAATCTGGTGTTCATGTGTTGAAAAAAATCGACTTGATATTAGGAATATTGAATTAAATACAAATGTCTTGCCACAGTACTTTTCAAAGCACCATAACTTGAAGGGTTTTTCCACTGCAGGGGTAAACATAAGGATTTATTTTTCAGATTGCCCAGTGAACCTGTTGACAAAATGTAGTTGTCCGCAAAACATTTTGGTTGTTTGAAAAAAATCTCAATAAAAATGTAATTTAATAGGAAGGCTATATTATACAAAGTTTACTATATACAGTGGGTAAAATCCAGTAAGTATTGAACATGTCACCATTTTTCTCAGTAAATATTTTACTAGAGGTGCTAATGACATGAAATTTTCTCCAGATGTCGGTAACAACCCAAGTGATCCATACATACAAAGAAATCAAACCATAAATGTCCAGAAATGAAGTTATTTGTAATAATGTGGAATGGCACAGGGGAAAGGTATTGAACACACTTACTGAAATTTACAAAAGCCTTTGTTGTCAATGACAGCTTCAAGACGCCTCCTGTATGGAGAAACTAGTGGCATGCATTGCTC